TTTCAGATGGAGTCTCCCTCTGTCGCCCAGCTGGAGTGCAGTGGGGCAATCTTGGCTCATTGCAACCTCCACCTCCCAGGTTCAAGCGATTCTCCTGCCTTAGCCTCCTGAGCAGCTGGGATTACAGGCGCATGCCAACATGCCCAGCTAATTTCTGCATTTTTAGTAGAGATGGGGTTTCCCCATGTTGGTCAGGCTGGTCTCGAATTCCTGACCTCGTGATCCACCCGCCTCAGCCTCCCAAAGTGCTGGGATTACAGGCGTGAGCCACCACGCCCAGCCTAAACGAGATTGTTTTTTTCTTGAAACTCTGTATCCCAGGAAATAAATGAGAAATTTTTAAAGCATTTAATATACAACTTGTTGCCTAAGAAGTAATTACTACTTTGATTATTTTCCAACCATGAGAGCATCTGGAAAAGTCATTGACTTTTCAGAACGTCTATGACTAAGGGGTAACTAAACAATCAGAAAGCATAGCAGCCATTGCTTTATCGTATTCTAGAGAGCCAAAGCACAAAATGGTATCTGTTCTCAAAGTCTAGTTATTCATATGCCACCAACATGATTTCTGCCATATCCAAGTACCACAACTTAATATCTTTCTTTAAATCAACTCATTTTATGTAATCATACCCATTCTAAAAAGGTACAGCTGTGAAATGGAGAGTTTGATGTGATGATCTTTTTTTTCTAATTACACAGTAACCATTAAAACAAAGCATTCATTCCCTTAATTACCCTAAATCATCTCTTGAATCACAATCTAAAACTGCTTTAGGTTGCTCTGTTTCTCAGACCCTTAGGAAGCAATCAGGAAGCAATTTGTGGGTTTACTTAATTTTCCTTCTACCGATTATCATTTACAAAGGTTTGAAGAGCATATAATGAAACCAGCCAAATGATAAAATTCATCCCAACAATATACACTGGATCTTTTCATGGTTAAGTCCAAAGTTGTCTAAAGCTAAACAGACAACCCAGCAACTTATCTATTATTTCATCCTTCTACCTCCATTTTCTGTATCACAAATGAAAATGAGACTGGGAATAAAGGCCCATCTTGTGGTCTGGCCTGAAGAACAGAAACCAAAGAGGGGAGACAGACAGTAGTGGGTTTTGTTCTGAGGCACTGACATTCAGTCAAAAAAAATAGTAGGCATGCAGATCATTCAAGTGAAAATTTCCCACCTTCAACACAGTAGAACACTCCTCTGAAAAAGGAAACCACAATCTGTTATTAATCAATACCTTTCCAGTCTATGATATAATCCAGGAAGTTCTTCATCACTCCAATAACAACAAAAAACTTACTGACCAGAACCAGGAGAGAACTTCACTCATTGATAACATCGATAGATACTTTAGATATGCAATTTTGGAGCTGGTCTTAAATCCATTCTATCAAGAACCACACTATCCTCTTTTAGAAAGTCATTCCTACAATCCATTCTCTTAGGATCATTGACCTATTCATTATGGAAAAAAACAATGTACCCTGCACTCAAAAGTACTGAGGACATTATGGAAAATACGAAAAGCTCAGAGTTTGTTATAATCTAGCACAGGGACTAAGAGTTATATATTCCTCAAGAGTGGTTCTAAGGACTGAAGAGGACTCCTGGGAATTTTCCCCCAACATTTTATTATGAAAAACTTGAAACATATGGCAAATTGAAATAATTTTACAGTGAACATCTGAATACCCATGACTGAGATTCTACCATTTTTACTATACCATATTTATCACATATCCATCAAGACAATCCATCTTTTTTATTAACTGCTAGGATTTTAAAAATGAGACTGTGGCGAAGTATGACAAAAACATACAAAGGGCTGCTTCTCAAAAGATTTCGCCTGATGGGGTATATAAACAAAAAACTTTGGAAACCACAAACCATACTCAGTGTTCAACCCTCCTGCCAACCTCCAATCAAAATCTATTCGGAGCTCACAACTGGCTATTTGAGTATCCACACCCTTGTCCACTATCTGAACTATCTTCAGCCCTCTTCCTGGCTTAGCACCAATCGGTGAAGCCTTCCCCAACTTTCACTCCCTTGCTCAGAATTAACCATGCCCCCAAGGGGGCCACATTTATCATCATTTGCAATTAGCCCAGCATATCTGCCATTTATTCTCTTTCACTAAACCTTGCCCTCCTTGAGGACAGGATGTCCTTATTCACCTCTGCCTACAGCAAGCACTCAATAAAAGAATAAGTGAATGACCTGAACCATCTATACCCAGGAGCCAAGGAAGAGTTTGGCTGAGTGCGGAAATGATCTAATCAGAGTGGCACTTTAGAATGATTCATTTTAGAGCAGCACTGTTGTTTAGAGTATGAGCTCTGGAGAAAAACCACATAGGCAGAAATCTCAGTCCTGCTACTTTTATCTCTGCGTGACTTTGGGCAAGCTTCAAAGCCCATGCCTCAGTTTCCTCATTTGGAAAACGGATAATACTGCTTCATAGGTTATTGTGAGGATCAAATGAGTTAATTTTTTTTTAAGCAGCACATAGTGCCGGGCGCGGTGGCTCAAGCCTGTAATCCCAGCACTTTGGGAGGCCGAGGCGGGTGCATCACGAGGTCAAGAGATCGAGACCATCCTGGTCAACATGGTGAAACCCCGTCTCTAC